TGTAGATTGGAGAGAGAGTGCAGTGTGAATCCATTGTTGGTAAACAGCCCCTAACAGATTGACTTCCTTTCATTTCTGCTCTGCTCCTTGAAGTGGCCCATGAAGTCTGTTGTGGAAACTTGATCTGCTAGCCTCAGCAACTGCGTAGCAATGTAATGCATTAGGTCCTCATGCCAGCAATGATGGCCACATTGTTAACCTGTTCCCCCCCTCCTTTTTTTTTTTGAGTATATTGAGTGTAGAAAAATACCCTGAGCATATGTCTTATTTTAGACTCAAATGATGACTAAGTGTGTGATGCTATCTATAATTTCATCAGGCCTAGTAGGAAACTAGTTTAGTAGAATCTCTTTGTATACAATTATTCTTCAGTTACTATTCTTTGTATTAAAATGAAATTCCAGTTTAAGATCTGAACAAGGAGCCTTATGGAAATAAAAACTTCTAAATACAAGATATTTCCATCATGAGAAGTTAAATTGGTTTGATTAATAAAGTAATTTAAAAGATACTGATATATCTGTGTGAAATACAAATATTCCATTTTGTGTACTTTAGAAGTTTGTGTTGATTTAGTATAGTAACATACCAAAATAGGGTTTGAAATTAACTTTATTTTTCTAGCCTTAAAATGGGACAGGTTTTGAAGTCGTTATTTAAAATTACTTTTTAGAATACCCAAAAAGAAGTACAATCTGTCCTCCGACCCTTGGAATAGGAAAAAAAAAATGAGTAACCTTGCTGGGTAAATCCCACTGCTTCTCCTGACATTTTTTGTACTCAGTGCTAATGAAAGAGACTCAGTGGTGAGTGAGCAAGGAAGAGTGGCTATTGTTCAGTCCTCTCCAACACAAGAAAGGAGGGGGTGGATTGAATTTGACTGGCACTAGCTCTGGCTTTTCTGCATTCCAAACTGTCTGAGGCAGAGTGAGAGCAAAAAGGGAGAGAGAGAGAACAGAGGAGCAAGCAGAGACGAGTACTGTACACAAAGTGTTCGGAGTTTCTGACCGATGCCGGAAGGATCATGTTAGCAACACCCAGAAACTTTGAAGAATGCAGACCCCAGGTAAGAATTGCCAGGAATTAAATGTCTGTGTGTAGTTAAGAGAATATGTTTTTTGTTATGTAAATGTAGTATTTAATATCATGAGTATTTTTTACAAATTAAGCTTTTTTTTTTTACTTCTGTGTGTTTACAGAAATATGTGTAGAGACTGTCAATATTCTAGCACAAAATCCAACGTAAAAACATCACTCTAGAATTAAAAGAATAGTGAACATAGCCAAGTATTAACACAACATTTGCTGTTCTTATTAATAATATAATATGAAACCAATATTTCCTTGAATCTGCCTCAAAAAATTCTTCACAAAATATAAAGATACCTGGAAATTGATAGAACTCATTTCTGAGAGACAGACTATACTTAACATTCAGCTTGAATCTCTGTAGAATATGTCATTCAGAAAGTTCAACAGGTTAGATCCATAGACAACAGTAAGAGTATTCATATGGAAAGTGTGCTTGTTCTGATTACAAAAGGTTGCCTTTTAATATTCTCTACCAGCAGATGACAATTTAGAGATTTTAACTGGTTGACTCAATGAAAGTTAAATCTGGGGCTTTAAAGACTATCTATATAGCCCATTTTCTTTATTTTCAGTGAGAACACTGAAACCTAAGGACTTTGGTACCTGCTCAAGTTAAAACCTAGATTTCTTAATTCTCAGTAAATGCCTTTTGGTTTATTTGGTTGGTTTTGGTATGATACTATTTATATTCAGATCTCACATCTTTATCTATACTGTAGTTGTTAACCTCATAAGTGATGACTTATTGCCTAAATAAATTAGATGTATTATCAACTCACATTAAAATCTTATGGGGAAAAAATATTGAGGATTATTATCAAATTATTACTAATACATATTCTTGAATTATGTATTAACCAGTTATAAATTAAATATTTACTAATAGATAGCTTATAGTGATGGAAAAGTCTAGCTTATGTTGCTATTTTTAGTAAGTTATACATTTCATAAGTAGCATTTTGTATTTGTATATAAAGTTTAAACTCTTAAAATTGATTATAATTTCTTTTGAAGACTTGAAGTCCTAACAATTTTCTGTATAAGTAAATTTCCTATATAGAAATATCTATCTTATATATGTTATCTTTTACTATAAGCAAAAATAAAATCTTCCTGTATTTGCTTTTTCCTATATTAATTTAAAGAAAGATAAGATAGAGTTTTTAAAGTATTCATCCATTTGAACCAGTTGTTTTTTTTGTGTCGAGCTTTGCTTCTCTCCATTCATGAGAGTTCTCTGTTTTTACCTCATGAATTATGTGCTAGAGGATAACTTAAATGGAGGATCCTTTGAAAGTCAGGGCATCTGTCATTCATACATTGTCATATAGTCTCTTTAAAAAGTTGCTGGCCCTTCCATTTTTCTGGAGACCATTGTGATGAAAGCCACGCTATTCTAGTGAGCTAAATAATTATAGTCACTGCCAAAACCATCTGCCATGACTCTTTAAAGCTCCTGGGAACAAGTTAGTCTGATTTAGCTATAAGCAGAGTGAAGACACTCTTTTGTGTTGATTCCTAACCTGCTCATTACAGTATGGGGCTAGATTTGTGTAAGTTCAGTACTAATTTCCAAGTATGTGGGAGATGGGCAGTAGGTTTTAAGGAGTAGCTTCATTATTACTGTGGGCTATCTCAAAAACCATTGCAAAGTTAATTCTCCACCCAGTAGGAAACAAGATACTGTTCACTGTTTGTCTTACTGGAGAATCCATTACTTAAGTTTATAAGAGGTCTGAAGACTGAAAGTAATGACCAAATAATACGTGCAACTTAGTAGTAAATACTATTTAACTTTGTAAGGCTTGGGATTTTTGTCTTCAATTTCATCCTTCTTAAAATATGTGAAAGAACTGCTGTGGTATATATGAATATTATGGTCCATGTGTACATTACAGGATAGAAAGAGTAGAGGTGTTTAAGATGGATCTTTGACCTGAATGTTGTTTCCTTATACCAAGAATGATCAAAAGCGTATTTCATTGGTAGTATTTTACTAACTTAAGTTGAAATAAGCTGTTGTTAGCCAACCTAACCCCAAAACTAATCAACTTAATCATTATGAACTACACTGCTGTGCCACAAAAGGAAGAAGGTGCCCTTTTTCTCTTCTGCATATGAATTCAGACAGTAAAGTCTTAGGCTTTGTAGAATACCAAAAACCAACTAGGTATTAGTTTAAAATGGGAATGAGATGAGGCTGGGCAGTGAGGAGCAGAAGGAAATAATGTCTCCTGTGTGTAGAAGGCAGTTGATTAAGTATTTTCTAGAAGGACCATTTCTACTACCCAAGACACACCCCTTATTATTAGTTTTATAAATTTCTTTAACTACATATATCTCCATAACTGCAGGTTATGTATTAAGTTCCCAAAGAAGGAAAGCCATTCTATAGTCATTTTTTATTATAGTTGATCAAAACTTTGAGTCACTCAAAAGATTTCTTTTTTTTAAACAAATTTATTTATTTGTTTTATGTATATGAATAAACTGTAGCTGTCTTTAGACACACCAGAAGAGGGCATTGGATCCCATTACAGATGGTTGTGAGCCACTATTTGGTTTCTGGGAACTGAACTCAGGACCTCTGGAAGAACAGTCAGTGCTCTTAGCCGATGAACCGTCTCTCCACTCAAGATTTCTTTTTATTGGTTCCTTTTGCCTCTTATATTTACCTCTTAAATACGATTCTATTTTGTGTTCTGATAAAATCTCTAAGGATTGTCTCTTCAAATAAAGTGAAGGCAAAAGATCAGGGACACAGCCATGAAGCTGAGCATATGTAACACCCTGATTTGTGAAGTTAACTATTTACTCACACACAGTTCCAGGAATCCCTCCCCAGAAACTGCCTGTTTCCCATCTGCTTCTGCAGCCCATCTGAACAGGAGTGCAGCTTATTACAGCTTGTTTCTCTTCTGTTCTTTGATGCTCTCTGGTTGTTCTTGTTTGCATTGCTTTGGGTTTCAGTTTTGATGAAAAGTAACTCCTTTGGATGAATGCTCACACCATCTTACACCTGAGAGATACAGGGGAAGAGTTATGTCTCTGTGCCCTGTTGAATATGAATTCTCCTGCTGCCTGAGATTTTCAAGTGCTAGGGGTTTTCCTGTGACCATGGTCAGCTTCTCTTCAGAAGCTTCAGCAATACCACTTATATTCTGTACATACTTGACAAGAGAAACATAACTGAATCAAAGATCAGAATTCACTTGAAGGACTTTGTCTTCTCTGACGCATTCTTTCCCTCACCCAGACTCGAACATTGAGTTGAATCAAGAAGCACTGAATTAAAGGTGAAGAGGAGATCTGGCAGTGCCTTAACTTTGGATGGCACGGTCTTTATTCATGGATCCATAGCCTTTTACAGGCAATGAGTTGCTGCAGCATCCTGGAGGAATTAAATTTTGCAGCATTTTTTTTTGAAGAAGAACTACCTGCTTCTGTTGTTATTCAGTGTAGAGGTCTTTGCTGGGTGGGGCCAACATGTCAGACAGATGGCTGTGACATCTTAAGGGCAGTATGAAAGGCTGTGGGGTCCACTATCCCTGCTTACTACTTCAGCTATCTGAAGACTTGAAGTATTGCCACTTTTTTCCCCTAAAATCTGATTTGACTTTTGAATCAGATAGTAAAGCTAAGATATTTGGTTCCCTACTTAAATAATTTCCTTTTTCAAGAACACCTAGAGGTAGTCGCCCCAGCCTGCGCCCCAGGGGGTGCCTCGGCTCCTAGAGCTGAAGAGTGAGGTATTTTGAGTCAAGAAGTCAATCGTTCTGATAACTACAGATCGGATTCCTAAAGCTGCAAGAAAAAGATAACAATTTTCAGCAGTCAGTACATCAGAGCTGCCCATCCCAATCGATTGGGCAGAGTGCATTACTTCGGCCTTCATTGGTTCCTACTCATTGAGCAAAAGCACTGGATCCAGCTGTTTACAGATGGCGGAAGTGAAGTCGATGTTCCGAGAAGTCCTTCCAAAACAAGGGCAGTTGTCTGTGGAAGATGTAACCACGATGGTGCTGTGTAAACCCAAGCTTTTACCCTTAAAATCTCTGACTCTGGAAAAACTGGAGAAAATGCAGCAAGCAGCACAGGATACAGTCCGCCAACATGAAATGGCAGAAAAAGGCAACCGGCAAATAACCCACTAACTACTACCACTTTAAAGGACGCCCCATTTTAACCCCTAACTGTTCAGTAACTAGAAACTATTCTGCATCTGTAGGCTAGAAATACTTAAACTGGACATTCAAATTTTTTAAACACAAAATTTGGGTGTTTTAAACATTGGTTTGTGTTAAAAGGAAATCTTTGAACCAAGTTTTATGGAATTTGGAAAGTTTTTAAATTACAAGTTTCTCACCTTATTCACCATACTATTGTTATAAATGTAAAAACTTAAATGCATCCTTTACGGATGAAGGATTTCTTTGTTTATTAGAAACCAGAGTCTGAAAATACACTCTAATGTGAATATATTGTTGGGCTTGTACATTACCCAAAAATAAACCAATTGTGTGCCACATCGTGTTTACTGCTATGTAACCTGACCAATGACAGCAGTAACAACTAATTGGTCTATTATAAACTAAAAGCTCATGGAACTAAGCTCTCAACTACACTTACTTTAAGAAATACAGAATTACATAACTGCTACTCAAGTACCAAAAAAAAAAAAAAACCAACCTGAAAATGCTTTTTATAGCAAAAAACTCAAGTAATATGAGCCTAAAACAGCCATCAAGTTTGAACACCAGAGGGTTTTCTTTCTAAATGATGGTACCTAACCCTGTAACCAAGGAACTATTTTGAAAATTATAAATGGAATGATTTTGCTGCAGTCACCAGATAACTCAGTTACCACAGATCTTGAAACCTTGCTAAGTTAATGAGGCTTTATAAGAGGCTAGTAATGTGATCCCTGTAAGGTAACTTATTTATTGGTAGTTATATATTGGTTGTTTAGATAAATGTAAAGCTTTAAGTACTTAAGAGAATTTTTTAAACATGTTAACAGAATATAAAAGTAAGATCTGTCTATATATTAGACAAATCTCACTCATTAAACTCCAGTTATACTAATAAACAAGATTAAAGTGTATGTGTATGTCCCTAGTATAACCTTAAAAGGCCTTTAACTATTTAAAAATTTTGATTTATATGTCTGTGTGTATGCCACCTGTGTGCAGGTGCCCGTGGAAGCACAAGAAGACATCTGATCCCCTAGACCTTTATTCTCAGCACTCAAGATACCAAAACAGAAAGACTACGATGGGTTTGAGGACAGCCTGCACTACTTAAAGAGTTATCAGGCCAGCCAGAGCTATAGAGAGAGGTTCGTCTCAAGAAACACTGAAACATTTTTGTTTGTTTTGCATTGTTGGGATTGAACACAAGGCCTAGTAAGGTTTAGACAGGAAACTTAAAAGAACTTTGAAAAGACAAAATAAATGTACTCCCACTAAAGAATCAAAAAAAAAAAAAGAACACCTAGAATACTAAATGTCAGGTAAATACATGAAATGGGGTTTATAAAGAGGAGTCGTGTGCTTCGGTGAGCTTAGGAAGAGCCACAAGGAACCTCCACCCGTATGAAAACAGGTTTGAGTTAGGGGTATTGAGTCCAGGACAGGAAAAGGTGTGCTGCCTGTGGGATATATAGGACTGAGATCTATTGCCCTTTTTGCTGGCTGTTGGGAAAGGGTTGTTATTATTATTAGCTCCCAAAGACCACGCCTGCATCACAGCCTGGCAACTTATTTCTTTAAAGCCATCAAAATATCTTACTATATTGAGCTGTCATGGAGTAGAGTATATAACATCTGTAATCTGATAGTAACTATACCACTACTTTGATCATGTAATGAATCATTGTGGTTTTGATTTGTGCTTCCCTGGTAGTGGTGTTGCTGGATATTGTTTTGAATACCTATTGGCCTTTCCTCCCCTCTTTCTGTGTTAGCCCTTGTATACCCATGTGTTGCACACACACATGTGATGCATGTACCCATAAGTGGATATGTAGAAACTGGAAGTTGGCATTGGGTATTTTCCTGTATTGTTTGTTACCTTCAGTTATGCATGTCTGCTGGTGTGTTGGATATATGGAGGCTAGAGTTTAACATCAATATTTTTCTTTGCTGTTCTTCCCTTTGTTTGTGCCAGGGATCTCTCCCTAAACCTGGAACTCACCTATTCAGCTAGCTGGTAACTAGCTGGTGAACATGTCTTGAAGACCTGCCTGTATGCTTATAGCACTAAGGTTACAGGGTGGGCTGCTGTGCCATCTTTTTACATGGGTGCTGGATCTGAACTCAGGTCCTCATGTTTGCACAGCAAGTCAGCCCATCTCCCCAGCCCTACTATTAGCCATTTATATGTATTTTAAGAAATGTTCATTCAGGCTCTTTGTCAATTTTTTAATCAGTTTATTCCAGTTTTGTTGTTGAGTTTTATGATTAGTTTTTGGATATTAACCCTTTTCAGATATTTAGTTGGCAAATATTTTCTCACAATATATAAACTGCCTTTTCATATTCAACTGTTTCTTTGTCAGTACCCATGAACTTACTCTAGATGTCACAGATCTAAATGGATTTCCCACTTTAAAACTGTACACTAGATTTTCTCCTCTAAATATGTTGTGTACTTTTACTTTAAATATGCCACTTACAACAATGGTAAGAATAGATACTTGGTTCCGTCTTTGAGGTTGGCAATGGAACATTTATGAAACAGCAAAAAAAACAGACTCTAAGTATCTTAAGGTCAAACATTCTTATTAGACATGGAAATACATTTATCCATTCATTCATGAAATACAGCCATACATGTAACTAACTATATGTAGTGGTAAGAATCATGTAAAACAATGAAACTTTTTTTTCAGGTGTCCAGGGCTTCTTTTTTTTATCTATATCTATATCTATAAATTTATTTTTTTTCAAATTGTAATTTATACTCATTTACGCAGGGGTTATAAACACAAAAAGGCAGGATGTGGGGAAGGGGATGACACTGGAGCATGGGTGTTCAGGGGGAATACAGATATTTTTCAGAACAGGGTATCGGCTGGGTGAAGGTTCAGGGGACAGGTCACTATGACTCTGCCTATGATTCACTTTCCCTTATCTAAGTTGGTATTGTCTGCCAAGGCTACCTATTTACAAGGTCTATGACTACTCAGGCTGGTAAATTGTCACAAAACTGCCTGTTTACAATAGCTTATAGCCATCTGTTTCAGTAAAACAATGAAACTTTAAATTCAATTTGACTTTTATTATTTTACATTAGAAACTAGGTGTTCAGGCTACTTGTTATTTGCAACTGACCTCAACTTTAGTCAAATCATTAAGCAAGCAAAATACTTTAATTCACAAATAATGACTATTCGCCTTTTCTGTTTATACCTCATCGTAAATATGTTTAAAAAATGCTATTTTAAAAAATTCTCTATTATAGAGTATATGGATTTTCATCTCTGGAGTAGAACACCTACTGGCTCCCCTTCATAGGCAGTATAATTTCATCATTCAATGCTTGGCTTTCCTGTTTATCAATGAAGAAATGTTGAGTCAGCCTCATGCATTATCATAAGGAGTAATGAGGTTAAACATGTAAATGACCATCTGACCTATTTACTCTTAGTGACACAATTACTTCAAATACTGTTTGCCCTAGAGATAGTTAGAGGAGATATTATCCTATTTATTTTCAACTTTTTAATAGTCATAATAATGTAGCTACTCAATTTACACACTCAGTAAATATTAAGTAGCTACTATTCATTTGATATTGGATGATAAATCTTATACTTCAGGAATTGTATATTGTTTGAGCAATTGATTGTAAAGTTTAATTTCATTTTAGAAAAAAGTTTTAAATTATATATTAGCCACTTTCTAGGGTGTTTTGGAGAATAGTTTTCTGTTAATTAATTATAGCTTTCTTTTAACTTTTCTTCTTCTTATTGTAGCTTAAATCTGATCATCTTCAGTCTGAGACTATCTTCAGCTTCCTTAAATAAAATCAGCCTTTAGTATTTGAAGATAGTTTTTTAGTAATTATGTTACTTCCTTATCTGTTTGTTTCCTTCTATTTAAAGTCCTATCACTGAAGGATGTCAGAGCATCCTCTGTATATGTGCTAAGTACCCTCATGGCAAGGCTACGACTCCTGTTATTACTAATATCCTCTTCCTCTTTGGCTTTGCTTTCCGAATCCAAGTAAGTGAAAGTTCATCCTAGCTTCATTAATTTCATCAGATCTAAATACAGATGGAAATTGGGGAGCAAGTGAAAACAGTGAAAGGCCCTCGGTGATGCATGACGTACATGTAAAGGACTTAAGAGCTGGGGTGCATGGGTAGAGTGAACTGACTCCTACAGTTTGACCTTGGACCATCACACTCATGCGCATGCATGCGCGCGCACGTGCACACACACACACACACACACCCCAAAGCAAATAAATACAAACTTTAAAAGTCTCTTCAAAAACACTTAAAAAGTTACAGTTTTGCATTCCGTTTAAGCTTCTTTGAGGAAGAGTTTTGTATCTAGCCAAAGCAGTAACAAAATGGAAGTACAGCCACCGTCTGTCAGTCAATTGTCTTGGAGTTAATTACTCTTGTAGCTCTCTATCACAAGGGTGCACTTAGTGTCAGTGTATTCAGAAGCCCCTCAAAATTTGAGACATTATACATATGTGTATACACATACACACACATTATACTTTAACTTATACTTGTATTCAGTTTTTAATGATTTTTATAGGATAATTGGATTTTGTGAGTATAGGTATTTTGCTTTTATGTATGTCTTGCACATCATGCAGTGTCGGGTGCCTGCAGAAGCCAGAAGAGTACATGATAATCTCAGGCTGGAGTTAAAATCAGTTATTAACCTCCATGTGGTAGGCAACTGAACCTCAGTCCTCTAGAAGAACAGCCTCTGCCCGTAATTGCTGAGCCATCTCTCCATTTCCAGATAATTTGTTTTTCAAACAAAAGTTTATTATACAAATTAAAATTCAGATGGTGGATTATATACATAGTGGCACCTTAATTTTATTCTTAAAATACCAATGAATGCCAATGTTAAATTTCATAATTTTGATTATTATTAGTTATGTGAGAAATTTTCCTTTGTTT